TTGGCCCAGCACTTTTAGTGAGATCTTCGGAGGATCTAAACGGCGTTGTCTATTCAACATTTCAAAGTTGAGGGTGCCCCAACTCAGGCAATACCCTGTATCATATTTCGATAGCCCAAAGAAAGTTGCCAGGCAAAGTTTGAACAGAATTGCCATATTTCTGCAAATAAATAATATAGGTATTGCAAAAATTTTGAATTCAGTTTTTTGTCATCCCACATGTCCCCAGAACCAAAAAACACACAGTGCATTTCTTTAATGATCCTCGCCCCATTTATTTTTTGAACGGGTCAACTCAAAAAATTGAAATTTGGGATGATGAAATAAATGCATGAATACTTTATTTTGAAGTGAAATTGACAGATGAAACTTTCAAGATGGCGACTGGGCGCCATCTGGGAAAAAATTGAATGGAAAGGGGGTCTTGTGACACATCTTTTTGATGCTCCTAGCAAATGCTTCACAACCCTAGAATATAATGTCAATATCTTCAACAACAATATCTTCAAATTTCAATTTTTTGAGGTGACCCGTTCCAAAAATAAAAGGGGGGGACATTAAAGAAATGCACTGTATAGTCGATTTTTGGGCATCATTTGATAGTACCAGAAAATAGTCAACTTTGCCTCTCACTGTTTACAAGATCGCATAATCTAGAATTTGAATAGTCCTGCATATATTTGATAGTTCCAATATTTCCACCATACTACATACACTAGCTTTTGCGTGAACTACAGGATATAACTAAGTATATAGCGTATATCCTGATACCATGGGTATATCAGCTGTTTTTCTGTAGCAACCATTTTTAGTTACGGATCTGCAGCTGGCCATGTGAGTGAGATAAGGTTATTTCAGCCAAAGAATAAATTATTAATGGGAATATACGCCTCTGAAGTGTGGTGGTTTAGAACCGTGTCGTTTTATATTGTCGTAGCAAAATAGATTGGTTTTCGAGAGTTCCGACAACAAACATAAATAAAACATTTTTTTGGTAGAATTACCGTACCTAGCCAGAATTCTGTCCAGATGCAGTCATCGGTGAAAATGCTGCAAAGAATTTTTGTTATTAAGACATTCTCATTCTACAGAGCTGCCTACCAGACCTTCACACCCACATACAATATTTGTTGTTATGTTCTATTTGTCCAGATCAATTACTAATGTATTTTTCTATGAATTGATTTGAAATTCCTGAAAGAATCTTTGAAAAATATAATTAGATTAGCTGAAAAATAACAATTATATCAACCAAAAAAAACTGAAATTACAATGAAATAAAATACAAGCAACAACCAAAAAATAAAAAAATTGAACTATTAACACGATGAAATTTAAAAAATTATTAACAAGAAATTAAAATTGAAAATTAAAAGATTTCAAACAAAGTTATTTCACGACGTTTCGATTGTTAGTATCCACAACCGTCTTCGGGTGATAACTGTTTACAATTTTGGGGGCTTACTGTGGTGCGGTGTTAGCGATGATCTCTCTTTTTCCGAAAAATACATTTGGTTTTCTTTCTAAGTCTGGTACAACTTCCTTTCAATTGATGCAGTAGCGACTCTTACGATATTCGTGTATTTTCCTTTCTGGAGCACCTCTTCGAACTTCTGTTCGTAGAGATCAGTATCCATCACAACAGTAGCGTTTCCCTTATCTGCAGGTAAGATCTTGATGGTGTTGTCTCTATGTAGCCCGATCAAAGCTCTTCGATTTTCTTTCTTCATTGCTGATATCAGGTGTTCGAACTGGTTATTGATCTAGCTGTTCTCTGATTTTTCATCTGAATTCTCCTGCCTCGATCTGATCAAAAGAGAACTGGTGGATTCCACTGCCGTTATTATTTCCAAAGTGGGCACAGATGTTGGTGCAATGGCAAAGTTTAGACCTTTCCTCAACAAGGATTCCTATATGTCCGTGAGCGGGCGGGAACTCATGTTGATGACGTTGGTGGCTTCATAGTTGTCCTGTTTTCGGTCTGCATTTGGGCATTGTTTTCTCATCAACTTTCCCCACTTCCTGTTGTGGGTATTCTCAACTTTCCCCACTTCCTGTTGTGGGTATTCTCCACGTTTTGTCGGATCTTCAAACACGTGCTTTCAACCTTGGCAAAGATTGGTCCATGATCCTCTTCCAAGGTATCTCTTCTTATTTCTTCAGATCGTTTTGTGACATCATGCATCATAGTTGACCTCTTCCAACGGTGGTAATTAATTTGAGACCTTATCAGTGCTCGGCTAACGCGTTCCAATATGCGTTTGGCTTTCTGATACCATTGAAAGATACCATTGTGTAACAAGCCTCTTTTTTCAAAATATTTGTGTTTGTTTTTGAACTGCTTGACTAATCGAAGAAATAATTTCCAGTAAGATGCTAATGTTCTCCTACTTTTTGTTAGAAGATGTTCACATCAGCTTAATGTTATTTCTAGTAGCATCGTTATTCGAACAAAAATAGATAGGGACGCATAGCATTTCCATGCTCCCCAAATCTTGACTTTAGTCCTTTAATTGATTTTCAAGCTTTCCAAAAGATTGAACATTTCTCTCCTAAATGTAAAACGTCACAGTCGTGATTGGACTCATGTCCTCTGCCAAAAGATGGATTCCAAATGTGGAAGCGATCTTTACATATACAAAAAACATTGCATATCGTTCTTTGGCAGCGGGGTATGAGTTCAATCACGACTATAACCTGTTGTACTTGGAAGGAAAAATAATCACTGAAACTCTATCTTTTGAAAGTCTTCGTATTCCAGAATTCAGAACATGTACTCAATAACCAAATAGAATTGAATTACTCTCCATTATTGGATTTTTTGCTGATATTGAAATAGGTAATTAGTTTGTTGAACTAATTTTATGCTGATATTAAGCTAATTTAATATTATTACGTATCCATGTGTCCAATTAAAATTGTTTCTTTCTGGGAAATAGAACTATTTGTCATCGAGCACGTACAGAAAGTTATTATAATTCAAATTATTAACATTATATGAAACACCAAGTGGTGTAGTAAAATTTGGCCCCAAAATGCTATTGAATACAGAAACATCGACTGCGGATTTGTAAACTGTGTACTGAAAATATTATAGTAAACTGCCACTTAAATACTTGTTCTACCTCTCCAACGGTAGTTCTATAAAGATAATCCTGAGAGTGAATTCTTGTATAATTCTTTATGCTTCTCTTTGATCAATTTTCTGATCTGTCACACTTGTGCTCATAGCCTGTAGACAGGATGTACATGTGATGTCACCCATAATGTATTAGTCGGTACCCATCCATTGTCACTGATAGAAACCTGGAAATACCGTGCGTCCTTTGGCCATAGAAAACTTTGTAAGTTGATGCAGGGCTCTGTCGTCACTCGTGGGACCCTTTATGGAATCGTGGGCTATATGTTAAATAAAGAACTCGATCCAGAGTCCACAAAGGAGATGGACGGACTTCGACTAAACGACCTCAACCGTCCTTCTAGCATCGGATCAAGAACAAGAACTTCTCACTTTTCTAACTCTGGATCCTGTTGACAAACCTGGAAGGCCACGTGGTTCAGGCAGGAAGCGACTTTACATCCTCTTCAAGAGTTGTATACCTTGTACATCTGCATTTCACTAAATTTTTGTGCAGCAGAAGCAGAATGTGTATATCAGGAAAGGAATCAATTACCTCCTGAGCGGGTCCGAAAATGCTTATGCTCAAACTATGATTCATCCAAACCGGAAGCGAAAAAGCCCTGCATGGCTGAATCTAATGTCATATAAGTATTCGCAGATGGACAAGCTTCTGCGATTTTTGAAGTGAGAATCTTGCACTTTGATCATCCGACAACCTCAATGTTGAATGATCAACTTGAATCTCATCAGTAAGCCATTATGACTGCTACAAAAAATTATTCAGAAGAGCTACTGAGGTACGATTTCAGAGCTGCATATTCCGGCCTGAATGGTTACAGACTAGCTTATAGGATCAGGAGACTATCTGGTAAAGGTAGTAGACTGTCAATCAGGTGCTCATTATATGATTCTTCATATGGAAAGTCAGGTCCTGGTGGCAGAGTATATTTTCTGTGCCTGTCTCACCGTGAATCGGATCAGGTTCTTGGCATTCGGCAGGGCCTCACTCTTGCCAGCTGATCTGAAAGATTATTCATCAAATGAACTAATCGGCTTCGTTATTAAGTTTGATTTACTCCAATAACTTTTGAGCTAGCTTCCTATCTATCTTGGACTCATTCAATACCCCGAAATCAGTCTAGATGTCACTACGAATAATGAAATGCTCATTTCTCTGAGGATTGAAATTAATATTCTTCACGAATTGCAAGATTGCATACCTACACTTCCTCTTGGGAGACGGATGTGTATTGACCGAGCAGATAGCTTTATTGAAAATTTCTCCTTATACTACTCTGTTCTAAAATAAAGTGAATTTTCAAGTTTTTCAAAAAATATTCATAAACATTTTCATGACTCAGAGTACAATCATCTTATGCCACTGTCAAGTGTTTTGAGCACTTATTTCCATTTTTCGCTCATCAATTTGATGACTTTCACTCCATTTTTTCCGGTCTCGTAATTCCTAACTTCAAAAATAACAGTACAATAATTCTATTAAAATGTATGCTTGGTTACCTTGGTATAATGAAAACATATCGTAGGGTCAGATACGAACATTATGGTTCCCCTAAACTACCGGAAAATTTTGAACTCATTCGATAATTTACTTCATAAAGGATGTATAGTACGCAATAAAAAATTGTAAATAATTGCCATCTTTGCTTTCAGTTCGTTTATATTAGGTGTAATCATAAGATCAACAAAATTCTTCTCACAAAAAATGTCGTCATAACTTTTAACGTGCATTCCGAAATCCATCTCGAAAATCATGAGAACGCCAATTAATCATCGTTTGTTTAAAATCCTTCTTTCAACAATCATCTGATAAGATATGCAAATTGCAATAAAAGTTACCCACTAACACATTTTTTCTCAGTCTTTTCTAGTTCCTGCTTCGGTTCGTGACTTGTGCGAAATTTTTAAAAATGTGCCCGAGAAACTGCAAATTCATTAAAGGACTGGAACAGAAATTCACGTTGGTGTTTCTGTTTGCGCAAGTTATTAACATCGGATACAGTTCTCCGACACCTGAAGACTGGGTTTCGGGCTCCCCCTTCAGCCAGTTCACTGCAGATGACACCCGGGTGGATACGTTTATCTCGGCTTATTTGAACGTCACCTTTCTGACTGAAGATGGCTGGAAGTGGGACAAAACTGATGTCGGAAGATATGGTGGAGGCTATATCGGTAAGTACTTTCTGAAAAAGATGTGTTGAACTTCTATGAATTTACAAAAATCACTTAGAATTTTGACACTTATTTTAAGGATTTCAAAATTTAATATTGGGCCCTCATTGTATGCTCTATTCCAGAATTTTTTGTTTTTATTTTGACGAAAATATCACTAAAATAAACTTGCAGAATCCACTCGAAAAAAAAATTCTGTCGTGTCGAATCGAATCAGACATAATTACATGCTCCTTATTTTCTTAATCGATTTTTCATATTTGTATTTTAATTTGTTGGTTGTTAGCCTACTCGTTAAATTGGCTTGAGCTAAACGGAAATTCTTCACTTTATGGGAACTTAGAACATTAATTTTGGGATCATTTTAGTCTCATTGAAGAAACATTAGAAAATTTCTTTCAAGTATGGAAAAATTAAAATGCATTTAGATTTTAAGATCTCTTTTAGGCCCCTCTTCCTGCATCTTCGCGATCTTCATTCCTTTTTTAATTAGTAGGTAGGTTCTGCTTCCCTTTTTCGCCAATATCACACGAAATTTTACTAAACAAATTGAATCACTACGGTATTCGTGGTCTCCCACAAATTCTTATGTCCAATTATTTTACTTATAGAGTCCAGAGAATAAAAATTGGGATTGAGGTAGGTACGGAGTCAATAGCGAAAGTCGGGGTGCCTCAAGGAACAATGTTGGGCCCAATACTGGTTCTTGTATACATGAAAAATATAGCAAAAATAGATGGTCTAGGATACCTTATCTGTTATGCTGAATTGGGAGGATGTTCACACAATACCGAAACAAATTCACGGAATATATATATATACATGGTTGAATCTAAATAATCTTACTCTAAATGTTAATTAGACTAAATTTCTTGCATCTACACCAACCGTCACTAGTCAACCACATACTGTAAACTCTGTACACTCTGTAAACTGCCACAAAAACGTATGTAGGTGTTCTACTATTAAAAAAGTGTCATCGATTAAATATTTAGGGGTAGTTCTACACCAACACATATGACGGTCTGATCATATCATGCATCATGCCTTGGAACACTCATACACGGTTTTTATTCTGAAAAAATGTTGGTTGGGCAACAGGATGAATTTTTTCTTTAAAAAACAATTATTTCCTTGCCGACGCTATTAATTTAATAAAATTCTTCTTCAGGGCTCTGTAACAATGCATTTTCATAAATATATCAAGAAATAATGAGTTCTTATTAAATTACTCACCGAAAAGTATTACACTATTTTGAAAACCATCAGACATATTAAATACATATTTACAAAAAATAAAAAACATTGGAACAACCAATTTTCCGAGACAACACCAACACAAAACGACTTGAAACAAACGAATGGCTTTATCTGTGATTTCGATAAGGTGATGTCTGTTTTTTAATCAATGGCAGAAAGAAAAAGAATGAAAAAAGGGTGAATTATTCAGGTATTTCACGTATGAAATATGCAGTATCAAGGCCATCGACATTTATTCTAGTATTAACACTATCGCATTTGAGGATATGTATCATTTCGCTCAAAAGTCTTTTGCATAAATATTGTTGAACATCTAGAATAGTTGATTGATCAAAATCAAATATGTGTCCATATTCCTTTTCATATTTAACGAGAGCTGTGGGGTTTTTTATATTCAGTTTCCTTAGAGTCCCTCATATGTTCTGAAACTCGTCTTTAAATATACCGCCCGGTTCGACCAATGTTGTGACCCAAACAAACAAGGCAAGCTAAATAAAACCGTTTAATGAAAATTGAATAGAAACCATTGATTTGAAAGTATACCTGTTAGGATCGATATATTTTAACTGGCATGACTTAGCACAACTAGGTATTTGAATTTGAATAATAAGCATATATTCAAATAATAACTTTTTTATTCGTTTCAACCGTAGCTTGTACCACAATGCAGAACCGCGAACATTTTTTATATTCTCGTTCTCCTTGGATTCGAATTCATATCGATTGTGTTGGTTATATTTGGAAAGTTCATTGCCACATTCATGATAAATGCATTTAAACTTACCGATACTCTAGATAAATTTAATTCAGATAACTTGAAATATATTGGGTTGTTTAAGGAGTTTTGGTGTCAGTGGTTGTTGAATCCGTGATTGTTGAGTTGATGGTTGTTGAATGACTGTTTATTTTTTATTGCATTTATTCTTGAATTAACGAACGAATCTGGATATGCTTTCTCTTTCAGAAATTAATTTATCAATAACAGTTGTTTATCGGAATATTCAGCTGTATTGTAAACTATCTTTGCTTTATTATAGAGACAGTTTTTTTTATTTTTACAAGCGCTTGTTGATAGAGGAGGTATCTATCATCATGATTTTTTTTCATAAACATTTGTATTGATATTATCTGACGACTTTTTGTAAAGGAAGTTGTTCGATTTCTATAGTAAACTTTATTGTAAGTTCTTATTCGGTAATGTGATTCAACAATATAGGGCACTATTCTCTCTACTTGCAAACACCATTGACTTTCTACAAATCAATAATTGCAGTGCTGAAATTTCCATATTCGGTGACTTCAATGTCCACAATATCGAATTGCTCAAATTTTCAAATATCAACTACGAGCAAGGTCGCTAAGCTGAGGTTTTTGCAATAAGCAGAGTACTTACTCGAATTATAAATGAGCCAACCAATCCAGAAATTTACTCAGTCACCGTAATGAAGAATGTCATGTAATTGACACAGTTTGGACATTTCTACTTGTAAAATGAAATGTTCTACCAACTGGAATAGACTCGTATTTTTCACATATTTCGCTTCACTAAAATTAGTACTATTCATTTCAAACTGCCAAATAAAAGTTTTTATTTAATTCATTCATGAAATATTATAAAAACAGAATAAGATAAAATATCATACGATACACGTCCGTTAGTTGTTATTACAGTACTCGTTTATATTCAACCCGTACTGTAATGAGTCGCCTACATGACTTCATAATGTAAAATATCATCACAAACTTGAAGCACCAGAAACCACAACGATTTGTAAAAGATGGCTGACAGGACTTCGTTTTGCCTTTGATTTAGTTTATTTCCTTTGAGAGTTTTGAGACGTCGTATCTGGATGATGAATTTTTCCAGTATTTTTCCACAAAAACCCAAGAGCAACAGTATTTCGTAGTTTTTTTGTGTTTCTGGGTGCACACTTTTCAAATAAACTCAGTTCAAGTAAGCATTCAAGTCATCTAATATTCGTTTCAATTTCAGGTCCGGCGTTCGGAGAACTAGTCCACGTCACATCTTTGATAAAACCAGACGATCATTGGGGATGTCACTTACCTTTTGGAAGTTCGAGGTCAGATCAGAAACTCCCGCCCCCTGGCACCCCGTGGATCGCCTTGATAAAAAGAGGACGGTGTAACTTTGAAGATAAAGTTGAAAATGCATTCACGAGCAACGCCGCTGGTGTGCTGGTTTATAACGACAGGGATTCTGCGTTCTTGGATAAGATGAAGCTATCCAGTGATTCTAGACGTGAGTACCACTTCGAAATCTTTTGTTTGTTTCGCTTGTTTGCATTTCTTTGTGACATTAATTAGTGAGACGGATTTCAAAGACAAATACCTAGTCCGAATTCTGTAAATGGATATGTTTTGTCGTTTTTTTTATAACACGACAATACCAGTATTCATACTCGACAAAATATTGGTTGTTTCAAAAGTTTTGTCCGTTTTCATCAATCTACTTCAAACTGCAGTATCTCAGTGAATCCCTATTTAATTTACTCGAAATAAGCGCCATTTGAATCAGTGCACTTTTACCAACGTAACACAAGTCGAATAATTCCTGATTCGGTCCCCAGCGGGGCAGGCACAAAGTATATGCTCTGCTGTTTCATTGTTAATGAGGTAGTCGGATAGTCAAGGTGCAAGATTCCCACCTTGATACCCGCGACAACCTTCCCATATGAGGGTGTTTGCATGTCAGCTACACCTGACGATGCCTTAGATTCAACCGTGCAGGGTTTTTTCGCCTCTGGTTTTGGTGAATCATCACTTGAGCACAAATGTTTGCTAACCTGCTCATGGGGGGTTTGTTCCTCTACCTGAGACAGATTCTGCGTACGCCGCTCAAGAATTTGGTGCAAGGCGGTTTTATAAGGTATCCCGCTTGACGAGACGACTCAGTCATTTCCTCGAGTTGGAGAGTTGAGAAGCTCGCGCTCATGAACTAAATTTACAGGGATGTCATCGAAATCGATGATGGTGACCTACGTATTGTTTTTTTTATAGGTCTACAAAAAAGATCGCGAAGGCATATGTCTATCTTTCAAGGATAGCTTACCATATCTACTCAATGTTCAAAATAATGGTCACATATAATAGGGTAATAACTCAGTAACTTCAAGCATTTCATACATATTATAACTGCCCCACACAACATTCAATTCAAATCCGATGCGACACGCGTGATGAAAAGAGGTTGCGATCGAGTTGGTTTTATTTTACATACTAACTCATTTCAAAGGCTAAATTCGCATTTTTTGTGTTGTCTTCAGTTATTACTTCACACTATAATATATCAGTGAATACTCATTCAATTTAATCAAAATAAGCAGGGTTCTGGAACGAAATTTAAAACAAGTGATTCAATTCACGATTCGAATCGAGCACTTCTTTAATTTCTCATTGATTTGAATGAAAAAACTACAAAATTAAGTATAAAATGACAATTTTCTGTTTTGGTTTCTGTTCTGTTTCCACAAATTTATGGTGAAAATTCTGTAATCATCGTTGTCGATAGTGTCATTAATTTGCATCAAGTAACGGGCCAGAGTATTCACAATATCTAAGATATTACTGTTTGATTTCGTACTGATTTTTTTGCGTTTATTATGGCCGGTGGTTCATATTCATAATTATAAATGAAAAAATCACCTGTTCTGAGATTTATTCCTTCAATTGGCTGCATTTTTGCAAGTTTCATGGCGGTTTAGTAATTTGCTAATTTATCATGATTTTTGCCAACCCTGTTCATAATTGTTGCATTTTTATTTTTGTAATTGAATATATTCTGCTGAAAATATTGATAGACTCACCAAGCCTCCTTGAAAGTCATAAAATCTAATGAGCATCATTTCCAACGAAGTAGCCAGTCAATATAAAAAATATGTTTACAACAAAACCCATATTTTAATGAACAACAAAAATTAAATGGCGCTTCGGCGTGACTTGATTGATTTCAGTGGCGCATTCGCTTTTTCAGCTACAGGAAAACCCGGAAAAACCTGCAGTACCACATATTCTAAAGATCTTGATCTACCAATATCCTCTCTTTCATACAATGAAATGTAGGGTGTCTCCAGAGGCTCCAATAAATTCAAGATATTGCCAGAATATTTGGTGACACGACTGTCGTCAATGTTAAACCAGTCCGTTTCGTCTTTGACCAATGCATAAAATAACAATGACTAGATTTTACACCAGAACCACAGTGAACAATGACTGCATGAAGATTATAATAGTGGTGTGCTAGAATGAAGTGTTCATCTATTTCTAACCTTCGTAAGAGTTTGGTGCTTTCGTCAGAAGTTGAGTCATGTTTGAATATCATCAGTGTTATTATTAAATTGACTGGTGCCACAGCTACACTTTTTGTCTTATAATAGTCAGTTAGTTTGACGCATATTTGGCAATACAGTTGATCATCACCCGTTGAAAGTTCAATTTTTAGATGATTTAACAATAAGCTTTGCACGGAGTGGTTATCAGCAGTTATATTAAGAAACGCTAGTTGAAGTTCCAGAAAGTCACATACGTTTTTGCTACCTCTGGAACATGCACTGCAAAGTAAACTAGTGATGATTTATTCATCAAAAGATCTAAAAACACAAGACGAGATAGACTGTACGGAATCATTCAATGCAGAGCAGTCAGGAGTGTTGATTCTGCTATTTTCTTGCTCACGAAGAGTATTCAACAAGTACCCCAAGAATTCGGAACAATCCTCTTGTTGTCCTAACGAGTATCTAGTGGAAATAGGTTGGTGGGAAAGATTATACATTCTTAAGAAACTGCAGCTGCATGAACAGGTGTTTGAGTTTGTTATTATTGGAAGTTCAACAAAATGAGCATCATATGCTAATTGTGCATATGGTTTAGATAAAGTTAAAAAAACTCTAGACGAACGTTGCTTCCACGTTTTCCAGGTTATCAGAAGTATGACATTAAGGAAGGAAAGAATCACCCAAAAGTCTAATCCACAAATCGTATGCTTCATGCAGAATGCACACGGTATGTGAAAACTGATAATTTGTAGAAGAATAATCAAGAAAAGTAAAAGAATGAATAGATACTGTGCTTTCTGATGCTACTGGTGATAACCAGTGCTATGCTATTATACCCGGAACTAGTGAATGATGAATAGAATAGTTGTGTTCAAATGTGCATACACCTCACTTTTCGTTTTCATATCAGTTACTGTGTTTTGGCATGGAACAGCCAAAACAGGCAAATAATTTCGGAACAAACATTTTAATCTCCATATTTGTGGGATCCCAGTGAACCGGGTGATTATTTATTCAAGTTTGTTTTTGTTGAGACATTAACATCTGCATCAATTAACTCTTTAACGCAATGTTTTTCCGCGAGTGTTTTTTCAGCTTAGAGGATACTCGTAGTTGCTTCTTTGTTTATTCGAAGGTAAACAAACCTTGGCAGAAAGGTCAACTGAAACCTGCCTGCTAATACGTATATCAACGTGTCTGAGAATTGTCGTTGAATGTTTTCAGTCGGTTTATTTGAGATATATTTTTTTGGGTGAACGCCCTGGGTTGTTCATATCGGTCTCTTGAAATTTTTATCATAAAATATATGGGTTGGAAGCCTCATTCTTGAACCGCGACGAGTTCTACCTCCTTTGTTGTCTGCGTCATTCGAATTCATTTCAGAATAATTACGTTTCACTGAAGAAGTTATTTCAAAAAGTGTTGAGACACAACCTGTTTCTCGTTTGAACAAATTTCTTCATCTCTTTAGTTTCACTCAACGAGAAAATACTTTAGAACACTTCAATTTGAAAATGTAACTAGATTTAAATATTTGTAGATTACTAGCGTCATTATGGCTGGATCATTCCCTTGGATCACAATTATATGAACTCAAGGGATGAAGCTAAAGTCATTAAAATTAAGCAGCCTCAGCTTCAAGAAATACAAACAAAGCATATCAAATATCGGACAAAGACCTAAATTAAATGAATGTGAATGGAGGAAGGTCATTGTAGTTGAGAACAAAGTAATGTGCAAATCCTTGACCGCCTATTCAATGCAAATAATATAAACTGTTTCTTCACCAGTATTCGAAATCTAGCAAAAGATAAAACCGTGAAAGAATTTTATATTTATTTTTTTTTATCTTGCTAGAAATCCGCCTGACTTGTTCAATTTTCCAAGTCTCAGGAAAACTATGCAATCTCATGGCTTATTTTGTTTATCTTTCAATTTTTTGACGATCTTGTTTCCCATCCTAGTGTGTACAGGTGCTTTATATGATTTGTGTCATATCCTTTTGGACATAATTTGGTGGTCCAAAAATTGCTTACTTGTCTTTTCATTGTATTGCCTGCAGCTGTATGAGTTCTTCGTCACAAAGCCCTATTTTGTCCGAGTATCCTCTAAATCGATAATATCCAGTAAATAGCACTGAAGTTATTCAGATGACGATCTTGTTTCCCATCCTAGTGTATACAGGTGCTTTATATGATTTGTGTCATATGCTTCTGGACATAATTTGGTAGTCCAAAAATTGCTTACTTCTGTATTTTCATTGTATTGCCTGCAGCTATATGAGTTATTTGTCACAAAGCCCGATTTTGTCCGACCACCACCGTAAACCACCATACCCTTAAATATTTGGAAGGCCTCAGCATCTTAACCGATCATCAATACGGCTTTCGGAAACAAAGATCAACAAGCGACCATAGTCACCCATATTTGGAACAACGCAATCGAGAAACATGGAGAGTCAAGAGTTGTTGCACTTGATATTTCTAAAGCCTTTGACTGTGTGTGGCATGAGGGTTTAGATAGATAGATAGATGTATTGATCTTTTTTGCTACATAATGTGTAGATGGGATAAGTCATAATTGTAGTTAAGTTCTAAACATGCATACATATAAACATACAAAGGTATAAACAAACATATAAATAAAATCCTAGGTCTAGATAGAATGCAAGTAAACTAGGTTTCACAATAAAAATAATTTTTTTCGGGCATTAGGACATTTTGAAATAAAGTTTTCAAAAGAAATATGATGATCGCTCATTGCTTACTTCCAGTGTAAATACGTCTACCGTGTAAAAACACTTTTCTGATAAATAACGTTTCAATTTTTTTTTTGAAGATATGAAGAGACAGAGTCTTTATATCGTTTGGCTGGCCAAACTTCGACGCTATGACTTGTCCGATCATTTTTGTGTATGGCTCTCCAGCCATGCAAGTGGTCGTTGATGGATATCTCACGAATTCTTCTA